TCCAGAGCAATCGAAGCTTCGAGCTGGGTTAAACTCTGCGATTATAAGAGAGAAGCCTAACGTTAAGTGGTCAGATGTTGCTGGGCTTGAAAGTGCTAAACAGGCGTTGCAGGAAGCTGTGATTTTGCCTGTCAAGTTTCCACAGTTCTTTACAGGTTAATATCTCTGCTTTCATTGGATTCTTTGGATGTATCAGAGAGTTTGTATCGGTATTTTTGGTGACAATTGGTGATTTGACTAGGTTCTATTGATCGAAATTGCTTGTTTATAATTAGGGAAGAGACGGCCATGGCGAGCTTTTCTGCTCTATGGGCCTCCTGGAACTGGAAAATCGTATTTGGCTAAGGCTGTTGCTACTGAAGCAGACTCTACGTTTTACAGGTAACATATTTTTCTCTCCACGTTTAAGTATGTTTCGATGATAGCCCTCGTTGTTGTTAAGACATGCCAAGGTTTCCATTGATGTAGTATGTTTTCCACAATCATATTCAGCTAGCCTGTAGTTTTTATGTAGAGTTGTTTAAGTGACTTTTTATAAGGGAACCAATACATGTAGTTTATATTAGGCAGAGTTGCAGATCTTTGGGTTTAAACATGCCTCGATTGCTTGCATGTTTAACTGTGTTTTTACTCTGATCAGAATTCTGTTAACTGTGTTTACAATTGGGAACAACGTTGTGGCTTATGAATAGTTGTATTTTATTTCCCTCCCAACCATCAGTGTGTCTTCATCAGACTTGGTCTCCAAGTGGATGGGTGAAAGTGAAAAGCTAGTATCGAATCTTTTTGAGATGGCCCGTGAGAGTGCTCCGTCAATCATTTTCGTCGATGAAATAGACTCTTTGTGTGGTCAACGAGGGGAAGGTAACGAGAGTGAAGCTTCTAGACGTATCAAAACAGAGCTTCTTGTGCAGATGCAGGTGAAAAGGTTAACAGAAATAAACCTACGGATATAAATTATTAGCAGAAACTTGACTTCTCTCTCTCCTTATCTCTCATTTATTTTAGGGTGTTGGACACAATGATGAAAAAGTCCTTGTGCTGGCAGCAACAAATACACCATATGCTCTTGATCAGGTGAAACATTCAGAGTGGATTGGTTGTTAGAATTTCTTGCCAACTTTAGAGTAACACTGAAAACTAAATACCATGTTGATTGTAGGCTATTCGGCGACGTTTTGATAAGCGTATCTATATCCCTCTACCAGAGGCGAAGGCTCGGCAGCATATGTTCAAAGTATTTTGCTAAACATAGAAAAATCATTTAGGTTGACTTAATCCTATGTGCCTAATGATATCCGTGTATGATGCAGGTGCATTTGGGAGATACTCCTCATAATTTGACTGAAGCTGATTTTGAATACTTAGGTCGCAAGACAGAGGGGTTTTCTGGTTCTGATGTGGCTGTTTGTGTAGGTGGTTTTGCCTGAGTTAATTTTTTTAGCCATATAAATAAACAAGTCTTTTGTTCTGAGTGGTTTCTACACTGTGGGCAGGTCAAGGATGTTCTGTTCGAACCTGTTAGAAAAACCCAAGATGCCATGTTCTTTTTCAAGTCTTCTGATGGGACGTGGATGCCATGTGGGCCTAAAAAATCTGGTGCCATTCAGATTACGATGCAGGATTTAGCAGAAAAAGGGCTCGCGGAAAAGGTAAGCTTTAAAAGTTTGTGTACATTTATCCTCGAAGCTGGTTTGGTGATGATATACAGCAGAGAATTCCAATGGAGAGTGTGCAGAAGAGCTTATGTTTCTTTCTTGTTTTCATTTGTTTGAACTCAAAAACAGATTATTCCACCGCCTATCTCAAGGACAGATTTTGAGAAGGTACTAGCAAGACAGCGACCGACAGTGAGCAAGTCTGATCTCGAGGTCCATGAGAGATTCACCAAGGAATTTGGAGAGGAAGGTTGATGATCAAATTGGTTCGGCATCACTTGTGTGTCAGGAAAAATCTTGAGTTCCTGGTTATGTATGTACTCTTATTTGATTGCACGCACATCAATGAATTTTCTTGTTTTCTAATTGTTAAATTATTTCAGACATGATTGTTTCCTGATGCTTGAGTCGGTCTCCAATTTACACTGTTGGTATATATACTCATAATTCCCCACTGTTGGTATAAACTCTTTTAAATCACAATATATCGTGTTTAAAAATGAAGATGAAAGTATAAACAAATAAACTGACAATTTTTTTAAAAAAAACTACTGAAAATAAAAGTTTGGTACAATGCCTGATCCAATATCGCCAATTATATCCGGAACTGGTCTTCTGTTACTGACGAATGCAAATATCTTCTCCAAGTGAATGGAAACATACTTTTGCCCACAATCATGAAATAAAGAGGTGTTTTGTGCCAATTAGTGTTTAAAACTAATAAACTATGCACAAATCTGTATTTGTCAGCAGCTAGTGGCTTTTAAAATCCAAGAGGTGCATTCTTCTAACAGTCTAAACCTCTGTCGCTTTGCTATATCCAAGAAAAGCTCCATCTTCTTGCGGAACTCTGACCCGCTCTCCTTGCATCTAAAGGATCCAGAACACTCACACTGCTCCGTCAAATGAGCCGCTTTCACCTGATTGCACCTAATGCAAACTAGATCCTGCATGTGGTACATTCTCTCTCTTTGTCTCACCATCTGGAGAAGACTACTCTCCATCTGTTCTCTCTCATATATCTTCCCACATTGTGAATCTACACAGGACCATTCTTTCTCTGTTAATAGAGCTGGATCTCGGCATAAATCTAGGTCTCTGTAGGAATCACAGTTGCTGCAATAAGAAAACACAGCACAATTAAAACTCCGCAAGTATATTTCAGCTGTCTTACTGCTTACTCCTGCAACAAAGTCAAGTATTTGAATCCCAAGCCTTTGGGAGTGAGATAACGGTACTACTACTCTTTTGTTTCAGGTTTGGAGGTCTAAGGCGTTTTTCTTTTCACTTAATGTGACTAAACGCATCCTTCGCGTTGCGAACGAATCACGCATATGCTATAATGACTCACAAGGATTTCTTTAAAGCAGGGGATAGTGAAGGATTTTTTTCTATCTAATAACCTAGTGGCCAGAAGAAAACTCGATTTCGTAGAGCTATTTATCTCTTAAGTAGATGTAGCAAGTCACCACAAAGCATATTTGAATCACGTAATACCTGCAAGCCACATTAGGTAAGATGAAGGAGGGCCCAGGATCAAGAAATTCAGCTTCAGCAGCACATTCTTTTACGTTGATGTACTTCAAAAGATTCCTTCTCATTACCTATAGAGAATAAATTATGTTAGCAAGATTGTATGTCTACAAAACAAATGATAAGACAATAGTTAGCACCCATCAGAAAAGATTCTAGCTTTATTGGTAAACATAGTTTCAAATACAAGATTACCGAAGTTTAGGACAGAATGGTAAATGAAATCAGTTACATATAGGTTTTCTAACCATTATTGGATTTTTTTACAGCTAAGATTATCTATTTAGAGGAACTGTGAATACTTAACATTCCAATGGAGCCAGTATCAGGTAAAGAATGAAAGGGATGAGTGGAGTATTTACCAGAACATCTTGCTCGACGTTTTGGTCAAGAGCCAGAACAGCACAGATAATTTGTATAAACTCTAACGTGTAATCTCTTTGGGGAGCTTGACCAGAAACCCGAGATGAATCTGGAACATTTATCTCCTTCATGTGTGACATGATATCACCGACTTTTTTAACAATCATATTTATGAAGTTGGATCGTATCTGCACAAAAGAA